AAACTCTACTTTTATGTGCTAAATATGAATGTGAGATGTCAGCAGTTCTGTCCCAGAGGCTCAGGGCAAGGAGGAGCAATGGCAAGCTTGTAAAAGAAAGCTGACACATTGTATTTGCCACATTCTTTCCCACGGAATCCATATTGATCACATTCGCTCCCTGCTTAGGTGAGTCACAAAATCTAAAGCTCTGTACTGAACTTTTAGGATAAAAGACTGGTTTCCATACACAGGATCATGATGAGGAGTTCCTGTTCACTAGGGCCTTTCTGTTCTCTTGCAGTAGATGAAGTAATAATTGTTTTAATTTTAAACTTTTCTAGATAGGGCAATAATCTTCCCAAATTAACTGATGCTTTGTTAAAATAGATTCTTCCTTTAGCATTCCAGTATTCTGACAGTTGAGTTTTTTCCACTGTGCTTTCTTTTCCTTAGAAACAGGCAAATATGTATCTACCTTCTTACTTCACAGGGAAGTGTCTGTTCATGTCTGGTCTAAGTAATGAACAACTGAACCATATGGATGACCACACTTTGCCACATAAATATGGGATTGGATTTACAAACATGGTTGAAAGGACAACACCTGGAAGCAAAGACCTCTCCAGGTAGGGCAGCAAGGGGGAATATATCATGCTTGTTAATGAATTAATAGTTGTGATTATAATCTTGAGTACCTTCTCTTTCAGCAAAGAGATTCGGGAAGGAGGGCGAATTCTGATGCAGAAGCTACAAAAATATAAACCTCGTATAGCAGTTTTCAATGGAAAATGTGAGAACCTTTTAAATTAATTTGTTCTGTCAATAGCTTTTTTTTTTCTTCACACTTATCCTATCTTTTTTTTATTTTAGGTATTTATGAAATTTTTAGTAGAGAAGTTTTTGGAATTAAAGTTAAGAACTTGGAATTTGGACTGCAGCCACACAAAGTGCCAGATACAGAAACTGTGAGTATTGAGACTAAGAAACAAAACCAGGGCATTCCGTTTAAAAAGTAACGAAATCTCAGGACTTGCATACACTTCTGACAATGAACCAAGTACATTCTGATAATGACCAAAGTACAAGAGGTGTGAAAGGCTTTTACCTAAATAGAGAAAGGGGGATAGTGCAATTTTCGGACACATCTTTCATGCAGCTTCTTCAGACTTGCAGATTTTATTTGGGAAATGGTGTATTATGATTAGTTGGTTAGTGCATTCTCTGACAACTGTCTAAAGTACGAATAATACATGCATGCTTTTGTGATAACTTTAATCTGATTCCCTGTGTCCAACTTGCTGGATATTTGTATTACTGAACTTTAATACTGAACATGACCATGGTGGTGGTAGTGCCACTGTGGGGCAGAAAGAACAGCAAGTCCATCATCACTGTGCCATTACACACAACCACTACAGCATTACAGGAGCTGGGCATGCCCAAGCACTGCCATCAGTCTGGACCTCCTTGGGCTGATTTGCAGTTTGAAGTTCAATTGGGTACTGAAGATAAAACAAACAATCTGATGAAGAGTGCATTAGTCACAGACACCTAGTGCTGGAAAGTATCTCAATAGACCAGCTATTTATCATCAGAAATAGCTGATGATAATAATAATAACCTGTTCTTATAAACAGGTTAGGGCAAAGGCAATTACACTACCTGCCAAGGTAGCTTATTCTAAAGCTTCATTACCTTGTCAGTTCAAAAGTTTGGATTGTTTTTCTTCTTATTTCTGTCCCAAATTACTAGTGCTGCAAGTTTAAGCTGTCTTTCTCTAAAGGTGAAGTGTTGCCATTAGAGCCTGAAGAACTGTTGTTGATAAAGTGCTTGCTTTCTTAAGTAGCTCTTAAAGACTTCTGCGGCAGTTGTATTTGTAAGAAAGATAAATAATCCCCTTTACTGGTACTTGTTCATAAATACTGCATGGCGTTAAAAGGATTGAACAGTTTGTTTTTGCTAAACTAACTTGATGTCTTTAGTTAAGGCTGTTGGCAGAGGCAGAGACACTTGAGTTGGCTCCAGCCATACTGACTAACTGCAGTTTCACACCCCGGCATGTGTGCTGTGGATGCTCTTGGCCCAGAAGCCAAGCTAATTAACCCGTGGTGCCTCCCTCACTGGTGTGGGCTGTTTGCATGCTGCCACGTACTCCTCTGTGGACTCTCTGGCTCAGGGCTCTGCTTGCTCAGGGAGCTCTGCAGTGTGCTCCACTCTCTTGCACACACTGCAAATTTCTTGTACCACACACTGGTACTGCTTTTCCTGCAGCACATAAATAACTGGTGAAAATTGTCCTCGCTTTGGCAGCTGATAATTGGCCCCTCTCTTCAGGGCAAGACAGCTGGCTGGACAAGAAAAACTAAAGACTCCTTTTAGCCCCTTCCACGACCACCTCTGGCATTAGTTGAAGTTTGTACAAAGGGTTAAAGCAGTGGGCTTAACTGTTAAGTTGTTCTCAATGCACTAAATATTAACTCATAGCTCAATAATGCTGTTTTTCTTGCTCTTTGTCTCAAGCTCTGCTACGTTATGCCATCGTCCAGTGCAAGATGTGCTCAGTTTCCCCGGGCACAAGATAAGGTTCATTATTACATAAAGCTGAAAGACTTAAGGGACCAACTGAAAGGCATTGCACCAAACACAGACGTGCAGGAGGTGCAGTATACATTCGACTTGCAACTTGCACAAGGTACAGTGCTTATTTTGTTAACCCTTTATTAAAATGCAGTGTAGTGTACAAGACAACTAGAAGTTTCCCAAGCAAGAAAGAAATAAAGAATTTAATGGGGGTTGGGGGGAGGGAGGCAGATGTGCCATCTTTTCTAAACTGTGTTGTGTAGATTCACAGATTCCACTCTCTTTATAGTACAGCCTAAATTCTATAAGGGGAGCAGGGGATTATCTTGTAGAATTTGTGGCTGTTTTTCAAGTGTTTTCTGATAAAAGTGCTCTTTGATAGTATTTGTTCTAAATATTAATACTTGAGGTGTTCTGTTTCTGCAGAGGATGCTAAAAAGATGGCTGTCAAAGAAGAAAAATATGACCCAGGCTATGAAGCAGCGTATGGAGGAGCTTACTGTGATCGTGCACCGTATGACAGTGAGCAGTGCAGCTTCTCTTCCAATGGAACGGGTAAAGTGCAGCGCTCTGGGCATTCGGGCTGTGAACCACTGCTTGGGAACAAGGACTCAGGGGTGTCAGCTGCATTTTGTAAACAGTGGGATTTTTGTTTTGTTTCAGCAGGGAGCAATCCACAGCACTGCGAGGGGTCGTCCTTCGGTATAGTTCCTAATGGACAATGGATGACACAGTCCTTTGCAGACCAGATTCCAGAGTTCAGTGCCGGAGTGACACAGGAAGAGGAGGGAAGCAGCGTGTAGGGGCTGTTCCTTCTCAGCTATGCATCCATGCTGCAGTTTTAATGCAGTGACCAAGATTGGTACCTCGGTTCTCCAACTGAAGCATTTTAATAGTATTTTATCTCCCCTAGTTATTTTATTATAGTCCAAAGTAAGTGTGTGGTAGGCTGAAATCGATGAACTAGATGATTTTAAGAAACTGTTCAAACTTTTTTTAAAAAAGTTAGCCCTTTTTTGTATATGAGTTTTATATTTAATGTATGCCATTTCTTGCAGTTTTTGACAAATTGCTTTCTCATTTGTGAAGATTTCTTTTGGGCGTTAATTTTATTTCATGAATTGTAATGTAGTAGTAACAGCAGCAGTATACTTCTTACTGATGCCTCAATATTTGGATATCTCACAATCTTTTTATATCCAGAGGGGAAAATGGGAAGTGTACCCTTAACTTATGTGAAGCGATATTTTTAATCAGGCACAGTTAAGGAAATTGTGCTTTTTAAGTCTGCCTTTTACCTTCTTAAAAAGTGCAGAAAGTTGCACTCTGCAGCTGTGAGTACTGAGTATCTTCTGGGTGGGAAGAGAGAGCTCTGTCTGCTTGGTGAGTGGACCATACTCAGAATTAAGGGAGTGAAGACATCTCTCAAGTCACAACACTGGGGAGGAAAATTTGTGTCACACAGGACAGGGCCTAAATATTCTAGCTGAGGTGGCTTACGGTAAGATATCCCTACCACTCTATCTCTTTCCCTCTGAAATTACAATGTAAGGAACTTGAATTCCTTGAAAAAAGCCCCAAAACAAACAACAGTGGTGGTTCTTCAATTCTGTAGCATGCAAACACTGTCGTTACTGTGTGATTAAGTCTCTTCACGTGACCTTCAGCAGTAGACAACCCCTTTGAACAGATTACATGTCAGGGAATTGAAAGGCTGCATTCTCTGTAAAAATCACGTACAGCTACATTGTTTACATCATGTACAATTAGCACAGGGTGAAAAGAGTTTGCAATTTAGCAGGTTTTAACATTCCGTTCTCTTCAATCTGTAGAGGGTGGTCTTCTTATTCTTCTTACAAGCAAAAAATACTGAGTTAAATATAGGAGCAGCTGTTCCATGAATAAGAAGTTGGCTGTAGAAACTACAGCTCTCTTCTGAGGAACTTGCCTAAATGATATACATTTTTGACCAATATTAGTTACTGAGAAAGAAACGAGATTCCATCCTGGTGCTTAACCATCGTCTTCTTTCCCTCCTTTATCATGTGAGGAAGAAATGAAGTAAAAGCAATAAGCTGATCAAAACACTACAGTTTTGATGATCTTATAATAGTTGGTGCTTCACATACTTGAAAAACAGATACAAACAGTATCTCCACACTCCATGCGGGCCAGAGAGTCCTGTAGGGTGTGATTTATCCTTTCTTCACAGCCAGCAATGGTTGTCAGTTGTGTGTAACCAATTAGTGTAGGTTCTAATCTTGCTATAACAGCTCTGAGATCGCACACTGTCAACCTGTTATGAGGCAGGCATGATGTTTACAGTTTTTTCCCAAATTATGTGGCTTAATTCTGAGCGTCTTAAATCAAGAAAGTGTGCATTATGATTCTGATTGTGTTTATTAGCTTCAGCATAAAGCTATTCTGTATATTGTCAGAAAGGTATAGGACTTGTCTGTTATTTAAAGTGTACTGTATCATGTATTGCTGTTTACATGGGTGTTTTCCTGCAGGTGCTCAAAGTATCTTGCATCAGGGATTTGTTACAATTCAATTATTTTATTTTCAACAAAATTGGAAGCATGGAATTAGCACTGCTGAGTATGTAGCACAGTAGGATTTAACTCCTGAAAGGCTATCCTCTTTGAGTGGAAGGGAAAGGTGTCTTCTTTAAAGGAGTCACTGGATACAAAATACAGTTAAGTCTACAATGACCGTTTCACTAAATACTGCAATTCTATGTGTCCTCCCTCAGAACTGGTGCTCTTTTTGTTACAGTAATACAGAAGTTCTTAATCTGTCTTAAATCTATCCATGTTTCACAATAAAATCAGGAATTGTACTGCAGTGTCTTGGAATGTGCTTTCACATGTTGCTAGCAAAGGTCTAAGTGCACTACAGGATGTGTCATACACAGAAACGCCTCAAAACAGAGTCACCACTCAACACAACTCTACTCAGTAACATATGCCTAAGATCTCATTTCATGCTCTTCAATGTGGGCCAGACAACTAAGGACACCTTGTGTGTAATACTGCAGGTATCTGCTGGGTAGGTCTTTCTACCAGAAGACATTGGAGTCTTATTTATAAAGACGTTAAATTAAAGTACACTGTCTGGCACCGAGTTTTACCTCTGTAAATGTATAATGAAAATACTTCACTGTCAAGTAAACCTAGTTCCTCACCTCACATGAAAGTCAGGATAATCTGAACCATGTAATGGTTACTCCAGCCTCCCTCTCAAGCCCTAAGCACACAAAAGTGATGGTCAGTTATTCATATATTTAACAAATACTTCGTTTTCTAGAATCAGTTAATTATATTCCTCGTATGCTGCGTCTCAAACTATTACATGCATCCAATACACTATGTTTGGCAGTATTTAAGTTGTTTCAGTATCAGCTATCAGGACGGGTTAATTTGAACTTCCCTGAAGGGTCAGGAATAAACCAGTTTTCCCACAGATCAGTGTGGACACTGGGATAGTCCCAAGGTTTGTATCTCCCATTCCAGTGAAGTAATTTAGCTTCTTGAAGAAATTGCTCTGAGTAACGGGCATCAGGACTCCAACCTGCATGGGTAGATTAAAAAAAAAATAATTTTAAAAATCCAGTTTTTAATAAAGGAAAACACTACAGAGTGAGTTAAATTCAAGTGATTTTTTTTTCAGAAGTCTTATTAGTATGGTTTCATCAGATAGTTGTATGATAGAGTAGCTTTTTTTTAGCTTGATGCCTTTAATGCTGCATCAGCAAAAAAATTTCAGCAAGTTTCTTCTCTCAACGCTTTTATCATCCTGGCATAGCTGGGATTAAAAACAAAATAAAATCTATTCATTTTACCACACCAGCTAAGACATTATGTTTTTCCTAGGATAATTCACTCCTAGGTGAAAGGTAACTGCATCCTCCAGAATGCTGACAACAAATGCTGCCCAGCCTCCCATATTCTTCCAACTGCACCTAGAAAAAACTGATTTTTTTCAGTCTGACTATATGCAGATCTTTCACATATTCTTTCATAGCTGATGGCAGTATAGGTTAGCTGGTCTTTAAACATGTAACTTTGCCCTTGGTATTTGGGTCTTTTTCCTTTTTTCATGCAATTTCATAACTATTAGGTGTTTGGGGTTTTTGCAGGGATGCAAATATGTTGTTTGCTTGACCTGTTAGGGTACTTGCATCCGACTCCCACATTCTGCCCTGCCCTGAAGAAAGCAGGACTCATGAGCCTTGAGGGAAGTGGGGATTATGTGCTGTGGATCTGAGGCAAAAAGTAATGCCTGAGGTACAGTAATGTAAGGTCCTGCGTTGGGATCTTACAAACCACTCACTTTAGTTCCAACTTGGAAACAGTGAGAAGTTAAACTTACCAAGATGCCTTATGTGCCACATAGGATTAATAGAGGAATACTTTCCATGAAATACAATCAGCATTGGAGAGGTTGCCACGCCTCCCCCAAGGGTGCTGCTGTAGAGGTTTTCCCTGCAAAAGGAAAAATAAGAGAGTATGTTCAAAACCTCAAAGAATTTTTAGCACAAAAGGCAGAAGATTAAAAAATAAGTATTCTGGCAAAATTCAAAATCATTTTGAACAGGCCAGTTTTCAGCAGACTCCTTCCTTATGCTGTTAATTGATTATATTTGTAACTCCAATTCCCACAGAGTAAATTGTCGCTACCAAGAAAAATGGGAGTCAGACCCACCATGAAGCTAGTTTCTTCTACACACTGCCAGTAGTCCTCAATAATGACAAAGTTAACTGTAGAAAAGAAAGCTGTTAAAGGAATCAAACATAATTTAGCCTGGTTTCTTAAGAAAATGTACATATTTCCATGTTTTCCATTCCCTTTCTTTCCCTTTTCCCCTCCCCCAGCTTTTACACCTCTGGTTGGATTTTGTCAAAGCCTAGTTAGCATAAATTAGAATATTAGTTTCCTATGGATTTTGTGGTAAATCCAGGGCTAGATCAAGCCTAATCATGGTAAGGGGAGGCATTAGGAGATGGCAGCCAGATGTCTGTCCACACGTGCTGATGGCCCTGCTGACCAGTTGGCACATGGGCAAAGCCACCCCACCTATGGGACACTGTGCCACCCACCTAGTCCAGTGGGGAGGAAACCTGGGAAGTACAGGGAGGTGCTGAAAGGCCACAGAACAAAAAAATCATAACCTCCCCTCAAAACTGAGTTTCAATTGATAAGCAATTTTTTTTTCACTGCCATTTCAAAATCCAGCTAAAAGGAGCATGAATGTGTTATTAAGGCAGAAAAATCAACTTTATAGATCAAATTTGCAGTAATATGGAGTTCTCACTCTTAAAATCTCTTTAAAAGCACAGCAATAGCTTGTCAGGGTATGTTACATAAGCAGAGTAAGAGAAAAATATTCGGCTTCTCAGTCATTCACATACTTCTCATTTGTGTCTCTCATCTGTTCATTTCTAACAAGTAATGGACACAGCCCAACAGCACAAACCATTCAGTGGCAGTTTAGCCTTACTAAACTGAAATTCAATCCTTTGCAGAGTCAAGTTTTCAAATACAGGTTAACAGGGAACTAATGTAAATAACGAATGGTGCTTGTTTCACTGTGTTATGACTTATTCATGGTCAATAACATAAAGATATCTTTCATGTCAAATTTCCTTCAACTAGAGAAAAAGAAGTCTTTTCTACTGGTATTAAAAAAAAAAAAAAAGGTGGTGTCCAATTACAGTTTGGCTGATGCTACAATAGGAGAGTCCCCACATAAACAAGGAGAGATTCCTCCTTCTTTCAGCCAGCCTCAGGAAGGGAAGATCATTAAGTGGCTTGATCCCAAGTGAAGTTGGTCACCCAAAATGAGAACCACATGTTCTCAGTGTCCCTCAGGATTATGTGTGGTTTGTCATTAAACACAAGACTAAAATTCCAGCTGGTCATTTCCTGGTACAAAATTGGTCAGATTTAAACAGATGGAAATGCTGAAACAGGAGTTAAAAGAAAGACTGCCTGGAGTTGAAAAAAACTTTTAAGAGCTTTTAAACAGAAAATAAAACTGTAAACCAAGTTTGAAAAGTAAAGTGTAAAGCTAGATTTCTACACATACTCTACATTTCTTTGCATCCACTTTTCCAACTGCTTCGTAATCCGCTGATGTTTCCATTCAGTCATGTTAGCAACAATTACTCCAGGATTAAAGGAACAGGTGCTGGGGCTGATGCCAAGATCTCTGATGGCTTGCTTTCTGTAGTCCAGGAATCCCATGTATGTGTTCTAAGAAATAAAAAACTATGTTTATCCCCTATGAATCTTTTTAAAGATGTGTACATTCATCTCTCTATCACTGAGAGGGAGACCAAACAGGTGCTCCCAAAGCTGAATTTCTAGATGGTGGTTATGTGTAGTGATTTCCATATGACACAAGGCTGAAAGGCAGGATACTTCCAGATACTAAATTAGTTTTTCCACAGTATGGTACAGTGGAAGTTTGATAAGGCTCTTCCCTCACCACATCTTTGTTTTTCAGTAGCTCACACCAAATATGCAGCATCACACTTCTGCAGCCGTAATACTAGAGGGATGCCCTGACAGTTCTGGGAAATTCAGCCCAGGAGTTAGTCTTTAAATTGTTTTCCTATGTTTCATTCCCAGTGTGACTAATACAAATATCATACATTCTGTCTTCACTAGATGTTCTATAAATGCTCACTATCTACTGATAGCAAAATACCAAACATAATTTAGTAGAATCCAAAGAACAAGACATATTTAAATTATTACAGGAAACAACTCTGCATAGCACTACAGAGTTACTACAAAAAGTTCTTAATTACTGGTAAAACTATTACAAAAGTAAATATCTATATCTATATCTATATATATATATATAACTTTCACTTTGGGGAACACATATGAAATCTTCTTACACTTATGGGTAAACAAATTCATTATTAGAATTCCAGAATGGCATCTTACCTGCATCCCTACACTTCTAATCATTTCATGTGTAGAAGGCAGATCACAATCATCTGAAAAAGCTGCAGCATGTCCAGGAGCCAACTTAGTATCATAGAGTTCCTGGATGTCACCTGATTACAGAAAGGTCAAAAGCATAAAACACCTACTGCATTGCTACAGGGTTTATAGGATAACATCCCTTCTCATATATGTTACTTATAAACACACCAGTTTTCAGGGATAGCCCAGATATTGATAAAGGCTGAATTTTGTAATATGGGACAATTCTTAAATTTCAGTCCTGTACCTGGATGTCTAAGGTCTATCTTTAAATATTGTCACTGGTATTCAATACATTCATATTCTGGTTTGAGTGTCCAAAATCACTTACAGCAGAAGCTGATTACACTGTTAAGAAGCCTGGTTACAACTGTATTCACAGAGCTTGCCTTTGGAGAGGGAGAGCACAGGCAATTTTTCTGATCCTCTTCAAGTCCTACAAAGGTGCCACTTCAATCTCTTGCACAGGATCAGGTTTTTCCTGGTATTATTGCATTTATACCCCCTTGTAAGATACCTAGGTTCCCAGCAATGGCTAGTAGAAATGTGCCTGTCACTCCTGAGCATCCCTGCTGGCTTCACAGACCATCCAGCTCCTTTCTGGTGGAGAGAAATAACGTAATGCCTGGCACCTCACTCATCACCTGACTGGCAGGTACCCACGATGTGCCAGAACAGTTTCAGGGCGGGTGGGAAGCACAGCACTGCCACAGCAATCGAGTGAGCCTGCACCCAAACTCCTACAGCTACCAGTTCTGCTGCTGGGCATGGGTTGGTCACTGTTAAGGTGAATTATCTTGGAAGGCCATGTCCCAGTAGCCTGAGGTGAGCTCATTAAAAGACAAGTAACCAAAAACATTCCCCATACTGCCAACACTGGAACTAGTATTTCTGAAATAAACAGAGATTATGTATTTGTCTGAACTCACCAGGTGGCTGGAAACTCATGTCCCACCAAAAATAGAATTTGAATTAGTAGGACACTTAATTGTTGAAGATCAGCATGCCTTGCTAAGTGTTTTCTCATGATTCTAAACAGCTGATGCTTTTCTCTTGAGAAGCAAAAACAAGTGAAAAAAAAAATCAAAGCAAAGAATTCTGGGCCGACACCCCAAGTTCAGTATGTTTCATTCTCACCGCTTTGCTGAAAGCAACAACCAACAAATAAATGATCCCAAAGTTCAGTCCCATTCTCTCCCTATCCCATGAGAAGTCTCATTCACTCCCATTGCAGAGACATCTGAGAGAGCACAGTCTCAAATTACAGCTAAAACACAGGGAGTAGCTGCCTGGACAGGCTCTCTTCCTCCACCTCACTCCCACATGTCCATCTTTATTCCCTTCTTGTGGGCCCTATGATTGTGTGGCCAAAGGGTGAACAAGACAGGCTGACTGAAACAAAGGGGAAAAAAAAGACTTAAAAAAAAAAAAAGAAGAGTTTGGTTTCTTCTTTTTTTACATTTTGTACTGCTAGTCTTCTGCCAGGTCAACCAGCTGAATCAGATTCTTCTGCAGCTGCACAACTGCAGATACGACGTAACAGGAGCTGCCTGGGGGCAGGAGAGGCCACTTGGTCAGCAGCAGCCAACCATGAGCTGTAATGAGAAACTGCACCTTTATCCTGCAGCCCCACAAACACCATCAGCTGACATAAAGTGACACCTCTAGTGAAAGAGAAAGCCCTATCTCTCCTCCTCCAGCCACGCTGCCTTGACTGCTACCAGGGGGCTAATTAAGGCTGAAAGTAATCGCGTTCCTGGTGAACCCCTGCACGGGTGCAGGGTGGGGTGCAGGGGAAGTGGTGGGCTCAGCTTGAACCACTCATGAAACTGAAGTCTAAATGAAGATTTTCAGAACTTTTCGAAGAGTTAAATATTGCTGTTGTCCATTGATAACAGAACAACAAAAAGCAGAGAAACACCCACGTTTAAGAACTGTGATACGAAGTCTATTGCAAATTAAAACAAGCCAGGCAGAGTGGCTTAGTCGTCTTTTATAAAGCAACACTTTAAGTGCAGATGTTCTGAAATCTGTCTCTCAAGAGGCAAAATTAGAAAAAGGTGTAGAAAAGGAGTGGAGAATTAAACTTTTGTCATGTGTAAATTCAGTGGTCTTAATGTTCTTACAGCAAAGACTAATTTAGGGCAACAAGTTTATTGTAGTTATACTCAGTCCTTTCCAAAGAAAATTTTCATTGGAACATTCCTTTAATGTTTAACGAGAACAGGTAAAATGGTTTTGTTGCCCCTGTGGCCTGGCTAGGATAGAATTCATTTTCTTCATAGCAGCTCATATGGTGCTGAGGTTTAGATTTTTAGCACACTCATGTTCTGGCCTTCCCTGTTCCTCATTCTGCCCCCCTCAGTGAATAGGTTGGTGGGTGCACAAGAGGCCAGGAGGGAACACAACTGGGCAGATGATCTGAACTGCCCAAAGAGCTATTCCATGCCACACAATGCCATGCTCAGCAAGAAAAGGGGAAAGAGGGCATTTGGGGTGGGTAAGGAGAGATGAGGTGTAGGTAGCCAGCTTGTGCTTGGGAACTGGCTGGGCATGGATTGCCCATCTAAGGGGTTTAGTTTTCTTCTCTTCCCTCTTATTCCACTTATCCTTTGCTTATTAAACAATTATTTGTTCGATTGTTTTATCTTGACCCTTTTCTCTTCCTCCATCCCACTGGGGGTGGGGAGAAAGTGAGTGAGCAGCTGCGTGGTGCTTAGCTGCCCACCAGGGTTAAAGCACAACACCCTGACTAAAAAGTTATAAAATAACAAGAAAATGTGATTATACAAGGGAGAACAACAACTCTAAACAGAAAAAAAAAAAAAACCTACTGGGAAACAGAACTTAAAAAAACCACTGTTGTTCCTCTGATTAAATTACTTTGTATGATAAGGAAAAAAAATTTTTTTCAGGATTGGAATATCTTCTAACTGTTCCCATTTGTTTGGGAACTCTCAGATCTTTGATCATGACTCTGCAAATTGCTTTGGATTCTGAGCTGAAGATGCTCAAATCATATTTTGAGTGTTTGGAATTTTAATCCTCTTATTTGAGTTAATTCCTTTTGCTCTTGAGAACAGCAATTCTGGATAAGGAATTGGTAGCATTTGGGGGAATTCAAATACTAGCAGGAAATGCATGTCACATATTTAATAAATATTGCAGCACCTGAGTGAAATCCATTGTATCATTCAGGAATTGACCAGAATCAATTACAATGAAACCCACATGCAATTTCAATCACAATTATTCAAAACATATGCAGATAAGTTCTTCTTCAGACTTTCATTTAGATAAATAGATTATTTGTAGTTCCCCTAAGTTCAACACTCCTAGCAGCTGCCTTAATTTCCATTATATCTCATATTTCCAAATGACCATAAAAGCTGCAATAACTTTAGTTTTAATTCTGCTAGAAACTGCTTTTTAGATGACAGCTTACCTTGAACAATAACATCATCATCCAAATATATTACTTTCTCATGTTTCTGGATAAGCAAAGGAAGATAAAATCGAACAAAGTTCAGCTATTAAACAGGAAAAAAAAAAGGTAAAGACTAAATGGTAAAGTTGTTTAATGTACTTGTCTCACACTTCTGTCTCTATTAACAATCAGTTTTAATATCTCTTAACTGAGCACTAGCCAGTGATCATTTTTTTCCTCCCCCCAGCTTTACTAGTGTCCTGAATCCATTGTTATTATTATCGTTATCATTATTATCAATCCATATTTATTTGCCATGGCCCAAACCAAACAGCCAAAACCAGTTGCTTCTTTGCAGAATCACAGAATGCTTTCGCTTTCTGCCATTTTCAGCTCAAGGGATTTTCTGATCTAGGTGTGATCTGTTTAAATATGAACTTCAGTCCTAACTGAATCCCTGTACATTAGTACATCCACAAGACCTTTCAGCAAAGAATTCTAGAGACGTAGCACTCATTGCACGAGAAGTGTGCAACATCTCCTGTCTGTGCTGTCAGTCCAACTAGTTTCATCTCATGGCCATTAGTTCTTACATGTGAAGAGAGTGAGCAACCATCCTCCCCTCAGCCCTTCACACCACTCCATTCTCTAGACCTCTCCTATTTTCATGCTAAAAGTCCACTATTTCCAGGCTGAACAGTTTTAACCCGCTGATTGTCTGCATGAAATCTTTTCCATATATTAGAAATGTCAAAGGCTCAGAGCAGGCCAGTGTGGACAAACATTCTGGACAAACTCAAACATTTTCTGGTGGTGCTACATCTTTTTCAGTTAAGGGGACGAAGACTGCACACAGTATTTAGGATGAGAGAAAACTGTGGATTTGCATTGTTGCAAACTGATGTTCTCTATTTTGATCCTTACTCTTTTTCTAATAATTTTTAACATCTGATTTGTCTTTTCTGACAGCCAGGAATTTAGATTAGTCATTAGACTCTGAATTAACCCTGGACATGAGCAGAATGCAGCCAACTCAAGCATCATGAAGGCCCAGTGAACACTATTACATCTCCCCTCTAAAAAATAGTGTATATACTGTCAAAGATACAATACATACAATTTACCAATTTTATGCCATCAAATAGTAAGGTCCCAGCAAGACAGACAAGTTGCAAGGAGTTTGTTATAGGGCATTTCTCCTTCTTAAGGCAGGGTATAGCATTTGGATCTGATTTGGCTTCTCTGACTTACACCCCCACATGTAATAGAACAGATCTAGGACATTTTAAAGCCTGTAATAGGTGTTAAAAAACCCCAAAAATTTATTATGTGGTGTTCATTTACTCACAGGCTGCAGTAGCTCAGGACGTGATGCATCTTGTCTGATTTTTCCTTTTAGTACCATAGGGTTGAATTCTACAACCTTAAACTTTATTTCTTTCAGTTTAGAATTTTCAATCCATTTTCTGTAATTAAAAAAGAAGTGATAAAAGAAATATTAAGTGTGTGGCAAGTACTTCCAGTACAAAATTCACAGACTCTAAGAGGGCTTGAAAGCTCACTCATCTATTCTATCCCAACACAGAATCACTTATGTCTACAGCCATTGCACAGATATTTCTTTAAAACAAAACACAAAAAAATCCACATAAAAACCTCAACAAAACAAACACCCCACAGCACTGTCAAAGCCAGACTCCATGTGTTGCCCAAATGACCCATCTTTCACCATCACTAGCAAGGAGTGCTATTTTTCTAAGATTTCTTTGTATAATTAAAGATCATTATTTCTTATCCTATCTACCATGCTTTTAAAGTAGAGGTTAGTTTTCTCCCTTTTACAGTTTTATGTCCTTCTAGATGATTGCCACATCACATCCTAATTATATTTTCTTCAGACTAAACTAATATTTTCATTATTTTGTCAGACTTCTTATCATCACTGCTTATTTTTCCCTCTGACCTCTCTTTTAAATCCTTCCTGAAGGGACCTAAAGCTAACCACACTTTTTTGATGCCTTAATAATGTCTGCAAGATTGGAAGAAGTTTCCTCACATCTCCTCTGGTTATATATGTCAACATGTATAACCACTGATGCATGCCTTCTGTTTTTTGAATCAATGTGGTCAGTTATCAGTCATAATTCTGCAGTTTTCCAAATGAATGCTACTGAACCTCTGCTTCACTCTGAGCCAATACAATCAGCTATTCCCATCAACATTACCCTGTCATTCCCTCTGCTGATTCTAATCATATTTTACACTTAATTTTTTCAGTTCATCATGATTAATTTGTTTTCAGCTCTTGTCCTCAATAAATTTGCTGCTTCATGCCAACTGCAGATTCATAAAGAACATTCTTCACTCTATTATCTAGGTTGCTGATGAACTAGATGTGAAAAGCTCCCTGGGGGACCCCACTCATTACATTTTTTCAGTTTGACACAAATTGTGGCACACAGGCCAGAGGTGAGACCCGCTAAGAAATCTGCTTTCGTTTTGCTTCACACCCTTCTCCTCTTAAAGACAATGTTTGCAAATTTTAATACCGAAACATGCTTTCGTTACAAGCTTTTTGGGATTCTTTTTATAACCTTTCATTCATCCTCTTAGATGAAATTAGTTTTAAACAGTTCTGAAGCTTAAGATAGATGAGAGGTAAGAGCAGTACCACAAAGTGGGATTGTGATGAGTAGGAATATGTATACTTACTAAAGACTTCTGCAGCCTATCTACAAAAAGCAGAGGAGGACAGGTCTGGGTATGGTCTGGCTATTTCACATCCTTTTACATCAGTCAGTGGCTTCCTACACGTACAGAATCCTGGGGGCTACTACCAATAGCACTACTTAAATAAAAGAGAGAAACATTTCCCTGAAAGGTCCTGCAAAGTCTATCCCTGTGCTAGGGAGAACAACCACCTGGTCCTAACTTCAGCATGAAGCAAAGAAAGGCTAGTATATACCGAATGTGTGGGATGGTTGTCTTCAGCCCAACTATGTAGAACAAAACACTGGCCTCTGTGTTGCTGTGGATGCTACTGATGGCTGCTACAGCTGCACCCATCCTGCCCGCAGCAGCGCAGATCACCACTGGGATTTCTTCTTCCATTTCCTCAGGACTCTCCAAATCAACTACAAGAAACAAATCCATTTTACATCAGACCTGGGTCCCAGGAATGAATATACTTTCATGAGCAGTGGAATCATTTCACCATCGCCCCATTTCCTTACCACATTCTACACAAACCCCCATCTGGCAAGGCACACAGCATGAGCTGTCACTAGTCCAGAACTGCGTGAGGTTTGACTGGACTGCTGGATGCCTCCAAACAGAATATATAAGAGAGTTCTCGGCATCTTCTTCTCAGCAGGGCCGCAATTCAGCCTGTCCTTCATGTAGCTGCTTATTCACATGAAACCTGAAGAGGTTTGAATACCTTTGAGACTTCTACTTCTCAGTTATATCTAGTACAAATTCAACAATAGGTTCCAAAATTATGAAAGGAAAGAAGTGAGTCAAAAAATTGCATGACCTCCACTTCTTTGGGAAGTAGGCTTAAAAGGAACAGTGCAAAAGCTTGTGCCAGCAGGAAGTTGCTAATGACAAAAGGAAAAAAACCTCTAAATAATACTGAATCTGGTGACATTACTGATAAGGAAGATTTTTATCCCTAGCACTGCTTAACTTACAGAACTTAAATGGATATATTTATATTGGTTAAAACATAACCATTTATGTCATAACAACCCCAAACAAAATATGATGAAAATAGATGGTTTATACCCAGAAAGAGTTTGTTTTCCTTGGAACAGTGAAGAAGCTATTTGTATTAACATTTAGTACTAGCTCAACCGTATCAACTCTAGCAGGTTTCTGTCACTATAAATATTCCAGCAAAAACTTCTGCTGTAAATGTCAAGATTTGATGGTCTATCTGAAATCAATAAGCAGGCCAAGAACATTCCCAAAGAGGCAAGTCGTGATCGAAGTTTATTACCAGTTGACAACACCAATCTGTTCAGCACAAATAAGGATATACTCCAGCTTCCATCTACATCAGTGACATCTGGATAAAAATGTGAATCAGAATGACAACTCTTAGTCATTACTACCAATTCCTTTCTATTTTATCCAAGTAATTCAGAAGCAAGAAATTTTGCATCCCAGACCATATGGAATGGTGTGAGTAGCTCAGCTGCTGCAGGACAAGCAGGATTCAGTAAGATGGAAAGTGCTGTTCAAATCAAGACATGAGGAATGTAAAACGAAACAGAAGTGCAAGTCATTTACCTGTTTCATTTTTTAACACTGCTGGCACTTGGTGAACTTTGTTATAGAGAATGGCACACACAGTTAAGACAAGAAGTAACAGTAAGATCTGGTTAACTGAAACAAAAGGGAGAACGTATTAACAACCAGTATAACAGTATAACATAATTCCCAATTATCTGCTTAAATACAAAAAATCCAGTTTGCAACCAGTACATATGATAACCTGTATCTGCTGTGTTTATCAAATTCTTCTTTTTCACTTTATTTGATCAAGCTAAAAATTTTATGTTAAAAACATGAGTCTTCCCTGTTACGGTAATTTCCAACTACCTCATTTTCATGGTTAATTTACTCACTAAATCATAAGACTCACAATATATATGGGTTATCCATACTAGGAAATTCACATGTTTCTGAATTTACCAGGAGCTTGGAATCTTTTTTCCTGCCTAATTTGTTGTCTGCTTATCCTCACAGGACATCATGAGTTAATTATATTTGGCTAGCCCTTTCTTTCTCTAGTGCTTCTCTGATAAAACTTCATGCACAGGAGAATTTTTTTTTCTATTTCAGATCTTCAAGGTGTATTTGAGCAAAACTCCAAAAATTCTAGAAACACAAACCCAGCATGCTACTGGAACCAGGAATGTTTCAAAATATTTGAAAATACATATTTTGACAGAGTAATTTTAATTAGTAAAATCAAAACAAGGCATGCAACAGCAAATACACCTGACTGTGTATTCTGATTTACAGTTCCTACAAATCTCGGACAAGATAAAGTCATTCAACACAAACCAACCACATGCAGGGACCAGAAGAGTTTACGGAATACAGAGGGGAAGGAGTGCATTGCCATCATCAACAGTTACTTTGATGACGGGAATTCTTTGTTTCAGACAACTTTGTTTCTTTTGCACTACCATAAAAGGTATTTAAGATGTACAAAAGAGCAAAGGGAGCAGGATTTTGAAGTGTTTTAATCAGAAGGGCCAACTGGCCACAACTGGGCATGAGAATAAACTGAAATTGGTAAACATATGTCACCAAACCTGCACTAATTTAAACTGGCTGAGGAAAAAGCCTGCTGACTGCAGAGAAATTTTGGGTGCATAATTGAAGGCAAACAACAGCCCATTTTCAGTCACTGACCCTGACAGTTGATGAGAACCCCAAAGTTCTCGAGGGACACACCTCAATTTTGAGTATGAACAGCATTAATGTGCAGAGTTTATTAAAAAACAGTCAAGTTCAGTGCTCTAGGCACAACCCACGTGGAACCAGCAGCTACCTGGGCTCTTGAAATTTCAGAATATCCAGTCTCATGCATGCAGTAATTTTAAATTAATGGGATTTATGGTTGTACTTATCTCAGTTAACAGGAAAAGACTTATTTGTATGCTGAAAGTTACGCATGATTTAGGAAAACTAGAACTATAAATTTATACGTAACTGTGATAGCAGTTGCATGAGAAATTGTATTTGACATTTCTGTGCTTTTTAAAAAAATGTATGTTTCAAATGTTTTTGATCTCTCTTACTTTTCTTTAAAAGAGCCATTGTCGTGTTGGATGAGAACTGTGATCTGTGGTAAAATAAAACAAAAAAAAAAACAATTAAAAGAGGAAAAAAAAATAGAGAAAAACCATTAATGCCAGAAGTGAATACTAATTAGTTATTTCAGGGACAAGTTTTTGAATTATCAATTTTACTGCTGAACTAGTCAAAGTAAAACTGTATTTGATCTCTGTAAATACATTACTTTTTTGGAACAAATAACTAATATTCTGGGCTAGAAGCGTTTCATATTTTAATTTAAGAACTAGCAGGTTGTAAAAAGCATTTTAACAAATTCCATCTGATCACCTACATCAGCGATAACTAACATTTTTAATACAGTTTAAACTAATGTGCAGAGAAGCATTAAATCACCCACTGATGCAATTTATAAATACATTTATCTCTGATTTCACCTAAAACATAGTAACTGTCACGAATACTGATCTCTTGCTGGAGTATGCTCACAAACATAAGGGAATCTTATCTTGGAACAGTGTCTATCAGACTTGCAGAAAATTTCAGAACAATAGTAAAAATATTTTCTAGGAGCAGTATCCTTCCACAAACAGTAAGGAGGGAGTATGTGTAATGTACCCTAAAACTGTACTTCTAAGCCAGGTCCAAGAGCAGTCATGACCTTATGCCCGAGAGGACAGCACATAAACCCTAAAATACAGGATTATGGGAAATACAACACTCGTTTGAATTCTGGACCCAAACCTACTGTTTATGAAAAAAAAACCCAAACCACAAAACCAAGACAACAACAAACAACCAACAGTAAAAAACAGCACCAGAAGCTGGAGGGGAGGGAACAAGACAACTGTGTGATCCAACCTTTATACTGTGTGATCTAACCTTTATACTGTGTAGCTGGATATAGGACAGAAAACAATTTTTCCAGTTACCACGCATACAGAGGGACACATTACAGCATAGGTAAGGATAAATGGGGATTTCTATGCCACATAAAAATGAAATTTCGTCCAGCTCCTTGAGAAGACAGATGGAACAGCAGGAATTCTTGAAATCTGAGTCACAAAACTGACCACCTCTCATTGGTTAATGCTCAAGTTCAGGCAGCATCCTAAATTAGTCTCTACTTTGACCAACGACTTAAATGACAACAAAAATATGAAAAAAATCTAAGATGTGGCTTTGTTTACAAACCACTTATGTAGTTAGGTCCCAACAGAAGACTAATTTGCAGCGAGAAAGGAGTCATTCTGGAAGTTTTTTCACATCTGCACTACTTATCTACATTCCAGCAGACCACTCTCTTCATGTGGCATTAATTTACACAGAGGAAATCAAGTTTATCTGTCGGAAAAAACACCACAGCTGAGAAAGCCCTTCTCTCACGCATTACACACAAGTATCATCTTCATATGCATTTAAAAACTTTACTCATTTAGGTAAGCAGAGAGGCAACAGAACCCCTACACTCTTGGAGTAACTTTCTAACCCCATTTAGCTAATCATAACCTTCCACTGATTTCCACAGAGCTGATCACTGTCTTTGAATTAGTATTTGTAATAATAGTCACAAACAGTCCTAATGATCACTGCAAGAGGAAAGTTGCATAGCCACAGCTTCATGGTAGCCTCAGAAATTATTAAATCCACACAAACTGAATCATGTTTTAAGCTTTAAAATCCAAACTCAGACAGACTCCCAAGCAAGTTTGAGTTCTAGGACTACAGCATTCCTACGCCTCAGTAACACCGATTGATTACCTGCTGAGTTTTAAGAAACGAGAGGTATATTTGCTCCCCTACAAATATTTACTCATTTTTCCTGCCTGTAGACATTATTTCCTGGAACCTGGCAGTCCCTAACTCAGCTGCCAAATCCCATAACAAAACGAGGGGCTGCAGAAGGGAAAGCTCAGAAACAGTGACATTACTGCTCAGATATTTCCTGCTTAATTAGTCTTTTTACCTCTTCAAAGCAGCACAGTATTCGGGACTCCTCTCTTCTGAAGCGCTGAGGAGCTATTTACTTGGATCCTAGATAGCCCACAGCTGTGAGCACTCTTGCCAAAGCCTCCTTGACCACCATCCTCCTTTGAAGTCACCCGCACAAGGGCCTTACAGGGCACAGTAACAGTTTTACGATTCAATTCCTTTTTCAGACTCTTCAAAGTTTACTTTGGAGTTGTGCTGGTTTTCTTTTCTTTCTCTGCTGCTGAGGAATAGCACGGAGTCCAGACGCTGCACTGGAGGAATGAGAGCCCATAAACCACTTCCAGATGTGCAGAACGATGATGCAGCCCCAGATTTGGCAAACTTGCCTCAGAGCTTCAGCTAGCAGATTGCAAACAAATCCCATAAGACAAAAAGTCTTAAAGGGGTGGGGGAAAGAGAAGGAAGCAAACCCTTCCAGAAGTTACTTCCAACAGTCTAGCTGCAAGTTAGGTTTCTAGTCATTATTTATGGTAAACGTGAACAGATAACTAGTGTGCAAGAGCCAAAATACAACATGCCAAAGTCAAAGTGAAAGCCAAAGTTTTTCCAATGTCTGTTGGCAGAGTTCTTGCAAGTCAAAAGCTAAGGGAAACCCACAAAAATCAACTCTGAACATGCACTTTGACTTGAATCATCTCATTTCCAAATCTTTGAGCATTTAATCCACAGGTTTGGTTTAGATTCAAAAGGATCTTAGATGAAGGTTACCAGTACATGTTGATATCCTGCCTCCTAAGCTCTCCTGGAATGCTTTTGCTGTTTTATTTCTACAGCACCGCTTTTATTCAAATTCTCTCCCTCCCTTCTAGGAATGACCCTTCTAAGTGATAAAATGTTGTTTTGTCACAAGATTTTCATGAATACTGAAAGGAATAATAATAAACATCTTCAACACTAAACTATTTTTCATATTTTTAGCATGAGGCAGTGTAAAACTTACAAGGAGTACTCAGTGAAGGTTTTAAAAATCTTAAACGTTTTATATGAAGATTGCTCTTCCATTTGCAGGAATTGAAAATATGGGGTTTCAACTGTATGTCTCAAACATGCCCTACCTGTATTATCTGTGTCTGATTTTGTACAGAAATCCATCTTTTGCAGGAAGGAAAAATAAATGAAGAGTTAAACATACAGTTATGTGCTTTGTGCAGATGGCCACAACTATTAGTACTTTTTCCATACTGTGGTATTTAAGCTGTATCAAGCTTATGTTTTTCAAAATCCACCTGTGTTTTTTCACCTCCCTTCCATTTCTATGTGAATCTGAACAGATCCACATGAGCCTGCGGAATTGGGACCAGATCCTTCACTTGACAGCAACCCCTGGATTACTGGCAACACAGTAGCACCTTCGCAGAATCACAGAATCAATTAGGTTGGAAAAGACCTCTGAGATCATCGAGTCTAACCTTACGACCGAACACCACCGTGTTGACTAGACCATGGCACCAAGTGCCACCTCCAGGCTTTCCTTAAACACCTCCAGGGACCATGACTGCACCACCTCCCCGGGCAGCCCATTCCAACGTCTAATTACCCCTTCTGTGAAGAAATTCTGCCTAATGTCCAGCCTAAACCTCCCATGGCACAGTTGAAGACTATATGTGGTATTTTAGAGAATACTGACAGTGCTCAATTATACATCTCGGCATAGCAATTTACTACGCAGAGCTCGATAAGGAGAAGAGGCTCTTTGTACCAGATACACCTTCTCTGGATTTCCCTCAGCCTCACACGTTTACGTTCTCACATAACACCCTGCTCTCACAGGAAAGAGAGCAGCCTCTCTCCTGCAGAACGAGACCTTCGAATTCACTCACATCACCCGCCGTCAACTGCAGAACCGAAACCTTGGTTTCTAATCTCAACCCTCAGCGCTTAAACAGCAGCTCATCCCTTTTCTCACATGCACGCCTCGCAGGCAGCAGCATTACGTCGCCAGTCAAAAAAACCTGTGAGTCTGCTGCACGTTTCTGGGGGCTCAGGGCAGAGCCGGGCGCCCCGGGCTGAAGAGCACACGCCGCACCAGCGGTGCCCCGGGTCGGCTTCCACAGGGCTCCCGTCAGAGCACGGCCGAGCCCGGCGTGTCCTCGGGGGCAGAGGGGCCGTGCTGACAGAGGGGCCGTGCTGACAGAGGGCTGCGGCGGAGGCGGCCGCGGGGCGGGACACGGGCGGGACACGGGCGGGCCGCGGACCCGCCGCCCTCACGTCAGCGCCCCCCCTTCCCCGCGGGCTGCCCCGACCGCGCGGTGCGTTGTGGGAGCGGCGCTGAGATGGCGGCGGCCGCCGCCGGGCTGAGCTGGAGGCGGGTGTCCTCCTTCACGGGGCCGGTGCCGCGCTCCCGCCACGGGCACCGCGCGGTCGCCATCCGAGAGCTGCTCATCATCTTCGGCGGCGGCAACGAGGGCATCGCCGACGAGCTGCACGTCTACAACACGGGTGCGCGGGGCGGGGCCGGGCGGCGGGGCGGGCGGGGCGGGGGGGGAAGGCGACGGGGCAGTCCCGGCTCCGGCCGGCGGTGGCACTGGGCCCCTCACGGCACCCGGGATCGCCCGCCGAGCCTCCCGCGCTCCCCCGGCTCGGCCGAGGGGGCGGCGGGCGGGCTGAGGAGCTGCCTGGAGGTGAAATGGCGGGACGGGAAATACGCCTGGGCCGTGGGGTCTTCCCTGAGATAGCGCTACGCCCCGGCCGGTGCTGCGGCGTTAGTGGGCCTTTCTGGGGAAAAGGAACCTGGAAAATCTCTTGATGCGCCTGTTGTGCTTTCCCAGCCCCTGGCGCGGGGGTGCGGAGTCACCCCTGGCAGGGCTCGGCTGAATGGCGGCAGGCGGGATTAGTCCCCGCCAGTGTCCGGATCCCCCTTCTTCCCTCTGGTGGCGGCAGCTCACGAGAGCTGAACGCGCTGGAATAGGAATCTTGCTTGGAAAAGTGAACATGCTGGCATTGGGAGCCTTTCCAAACAGGAAGCTGCCCGAGACCGATTTTATTTGTGAAGGATTAGATGCCTAAATAGTTATTGTACGGGATGCTGAATGAGGCTGGAAAACTTGCGTGTAGTGTTAGAGCTTGGGCCGAGACGGGAGAGTTCAGTGACTGATCCGTGCTTCTCGATCTGCCAGTGTTAGCTGATTGAGGTTTTCCAAGCAGATTTTTCTCTGATATCTTAAAGATCTACTACTCTTAATCACATTTTTGGGGGGAGAAGAAAAAGAATCTCTTAACCTTTCTGTTCTGACAAGTAATCCCAAAGAAAACTCTCAGACAGTACAGTTATGCTCTCTGTCAGAACAAAGGTTTTGATGTGTACCTTTTGAGTGAGTGTTTTGGGTTTTTTTCCTGCCCGGATTTTCTGCTAAAGGTGTTTCCCCTTCACAGCAGTGACAAAAAGGATCATGACTCAGTTGTTCCGGTTCCTGGACGAGTGCTTGGCCCAAACTGACCTTTTTTTCTCTGGGGTTTAAGGTGCAGGGTTGTGACCCAGGCTGCCCCAGTGTGGGATGCCATCCGTGGCTCTTGCTATGCGTGTGATGACTTCTGAGGAGCTGGCACACAGTGAGCATCTTAATCTGCTGCAGCAGCGTTCACTGGAAGCTTCTAATTTCATACTTTTCCTCTTTGTGCTCAGGAAAAAAGCTTAGGATAAAGAAGACAGTGTCTCCTGTAATTCTTTAATTCCAGAGCAGTTTAAACACCAATATGCTGCTGCTGGATCAGACTGTCTCAGCTGCTCTTTCTTGCCTGTGTGCCTCTCCTCTCCCATGTATCAGTGCAGCGTTCTGTGGATATTAACATGGGTCCCAGAACAGTGTAATTAGTTTTTGAATAGGGCTATTAAGTCCAGGCACACTGCCATGCTGCTGTAGCTCTAATAATTCTGTTTCTAGGGCTAGCTCCCTCTGAGTTAGCATAGTTATCTCTCTTCTGTAGAACTGCACTTGTGTTCCTCATTAGCCTCTATTCTTGGCAAGTCTGTTAAATTGCTGGGTGACCCTTCGTAAATGACTTAGTTACAGCGACCTCATGGGTTCATTCATACTGAGTAACATTGGTTTGATACAGGTGTTTGCTTTCCTTTTTATTAAAAAAACCCCTCAATTAAAACTTAGTGTTAAGCAAATAGCCCATTTACAGTTATCTACAGGTAAAAAGTAATGCTCTAAAAAGCAGAGGTGTTTAAAAATACACTTTTCGGTGTTTTAAATATTTTTCTTCTTTTTTTTTTTTCTCTACTATAGTTACAAATCAATGGTTCCTTCCTGCTGTAAGGGGAGATATTCCTCCAGGCTGTGCAGCACATGGATTTGTTTGTGATGGTACCAGAATACTAGTTTTTGGAGGAATGGTTGAATATGGAAGATACAGTAATGATTTATATGAATTGCAGGTAGGAAATGTATGAAAATGTTTCAGTTTTGAGGACTACTATATTTATCTGTTTATGAACAAACACATTTTATTTTACCAACTGCAGAAGAAACTTAGATAAGCTTTGCTCTGCTCCAGGAAGAATAAACTTTAAATAGATTCTGAAGATGGAGAAAATCCAAATGCCTTTGAAAAAGAGACTTCCATGTAGTCTAAATAAAGTATAAAATATTTAGTCTTTTATTTAAGTAAGCTCATATGTGTCCCTTTTAACATATGTCCTGAGAAAAGCCCAGCATTCCTTTAAAAATAGTTCAGAAAATATAAGACTGTTAACATTACCTGAATTCTATTTACTGTGAGTGACTATAAATGAAGATATTTCTGAACATATTTTTCTTGTCTTCAAGGCAAGTCGATGGCTCTGGAAAAAAGTAAAACCTCAAGCTCCTTCCAATGGATCACCACCCTGTCCTCGACTTGGCCATAGCTTTTCTTTGTATGGTAACAAGTGCTATTTGTTTGGTGGCCTGGCAAATGAAAGTGAAGATTCAAATAATAACGTTCCCAGGTATGCTGATTTGCTTTGAATTTAACGGCTTTAAAGACAAATGACTGGATGTGACAACTTTGAGCAGGAACATTCTAGTCAGGCTGTTCTGCGTACCAGGTACCTGCAGATGGATTGTTTGTGCAGTGGACGGGTTACATGCGAAGAAGCTTAAATATTTCTTCTGCTAACCCCACAAAATGTAACACTGACTGACAGCTCTGACACTTATGTAGGCAAACCTGAGTAGACTTTGGTATTTTTCCTAGTATTTTGGGTGATGATTTTAAGAATGGCTTGTTTGTTAGAATTACTTGAATCAGCCAAGTCTCATGAGTCATCAGGGAATTCACGATGGATGTTTCCTCTATATTACTGTGGAAAATAGTTATGAATTCATCTGGAAATTTTTTACAGTAACAGCTGAAGTTGCCTCTGTTGCCACCAAACAGTGCTCTAATGCTCCAGTTTTATATCCACGTTCGCCTGCAGTTCAGAGAACTAATATCCACTGAGCTATAACCTGGCAGTTTTAAGCTCAGTAAACAAGGGGTACGTCATGTGAATGCCAAGATTCAAAAACAGTTATCTAAAAAATAACTTGCTGATAGATTCAGCAACAAATGGCTAATTGTCTATTGGCCAGCCTGAAGGCACAAGAAAAAAATAGCTTCTTCTCACCTTTATTGCTTTGGAGTTGCAGAAATTCATCTCTAATGTCTCTGGTCATCATGTTATTTCTCACAGCTTTGCAGTTTATTCCAAGTGTGTCCATATGTAGTAATTTCTGTGAAGAATGTTGTTTACCCCTCTTGAATGTTTCCTTCATGTAATACAGTGTAGCAAATATGATATGAGAGCATGTTTCCTTAGAGGCAACCAGTTATAATTGTTCAGGTTTTTTGTTTTAAATCCAGTTTTGGTACCGTCCACAATGCATCAAATGTTTTGAGAGTTTAAAACTCTACACTCTCCCAAGACAGAAGTCTATAATACTTGGAAGGGGTCGGGGTTTAAAATGCACTTGTAATCGTGCTTGTAAGTGAATTTTTCATGCTTTTGACAATAATACCCTAGATATTTAAATGATTTCTATGAACTGGAGCTGCAACATGGTTCTGGCGTTGTTGGCTGGAGTATTCCTGTGACCAAAGGAATCTTGCCATCTCCTCGAGAATCTCACACAGCCATCGTATACTGCAGAAAAGATGTGGGAAGTCCGAAGATGTATATTTTTGGAGGGATGTGTGGCTGTCGGCTTAATGATCTCTGGGAACTTGACATAGGTGAGTTGATTTGCCAGTAGAAGTCCGTGCTCACTGGCCGAGAGGAAAAATTACAGTATAGAATGGTTAATGGCATGATGTGGTACAGATATTATTGAGTCTAACACCATAGTGCTAACCTCTTGTAATTTCTGGAATGAAATAGATACAGCATTGTTTGCATATATTATCCTCGCTGATTATGGGTGAGATTGTTTCTTTAGAGAGTTCTTTAGGGTGGTTATCACTATGATAACCAAGCTGAATAACCATAATGGAACCATAATATATCTTTCTGATAAACATTGTATTCCTTCCTGTTTTTTAAAAGAACCTCTAGGGGCTTGTTATTGTGCTTCTTTCTTAAAGTTGCCATCCGAAAAAGATGAAGTTTTGTTTTGCTTAATCTTAGAGGTATGTTCCCTCCTAAAATCCAGGCAGTGAAATATGCGGTAACAAGGTTTCTTTGAGGATTTTTATTCTTTTTCTTTTAGAAACCATGACCTGGTCAAGACCAGAAACCAAAGGGACAGTACCACTTCCTCGCAGTCTCCATACGGCCAATGTAATAGGAAACAAGTATGTCTGTTGTTAAAAGCTCAACTCTAGAAAGGTACACCTAGTAGGAGAATGATGACACTTATCCACTACTGCTCAGTATAAACCATCAGCCCTGTAGAGTACTTTGCTGCTGCTGTTTTAAGTACCACTGTTAACTTAAGGGTATCAAACTGTCAGTGTTTCCATCCAGCAGAACAATCTGCCCAGCCTTCAAGCAGCTTTCCAGGCTTCTTAAAGCACCTTCGTGCATTCTGGGGACCTGGGCCTGAGCTGGCTCTGTCAGGAGTGAGCTCGAGTGCCTCTGTGTCTGTGACACAAATGAAATTAGCTATGCAAAAAAACTGCTCAAAGAGTAAAACTAGTTCTAGGCAAAACTATTCCACGCTTTTTCCGTATTCTGTTTCTCATTACTCTGCTTCTTACCAATGTAGTTTGTTTTGGCAGATAGCATTGATAAAATGGATTTTTAAACATGGGTTTCAGTCTATTTTATATCAATTTACAAGTGGGCATGAGGAGAAAGAGGCAAGGGGGAAAAAAGATGTGCAAGCTTTGTATCTTATGATTCAGTAGGTTAGTTTTTGATTATTTACTTAACATGTCAGTAGTTTGTAGCCTGCATTATATTCTTAAATTTTGATATCTGACTTAGATACCAGTCTTCTTATTTTAGTTATTGAGAAGTCTGCAGTAAAGGATTGTAGAAATACTGTGTAAAAGTGTGATTTTCTGAGAGCATTAGCAGTTTGGTGGCTTGTAAGAAGTGACAGTATTAACTTCTGTTTCTGGAAAGTCGTTTGAGGAGTTTGTGGGATTTTTTGTTTGGTTGAGTTTTTTAATCAGTTAACTTACTCAAAAATTTCAGAAGGTGGATGTCTGCAACAGTATTTTATAATGAGAGTAGATTCAAATAAAATTTGCTGTAAACCAGAACTGTAAAGCACTGGGAATTTTCTGTTTCGTCCTAGTTTGAGAGAGCCCATGCAGCAGATCTGGATATTAATTGTCTTTTCTTTTCTTTTTCCCTCTTCCCTCTTTTTCTATATTTCAGAATGTATGTTTTTGGTGGCTGGGTTCCACAGTCAGCAGGAGGTGAAATTTCTTCTCATGATGGCGAATGGAAATGTACCGGTTCATTTTCTTACCTTAATTTGGGTTAGTGTTTCTGCCTTTCTGGGAGTGGGCATTTTAAATGATACTTTATTAACAGAGTAGAGTAACTATTTTGAAGACCCTGAGAAAAGTTTAGGATACACAGCTGTAACACTAGGGGACTAAAGAAGTTGCCGGGTTTTTACATCTTTCTTGAGAAGTGATATTTTAATAATTGTTTTTCTTGGAAGCTTCAGCAGGTTTGCTTCTGCAAATCTTTGTTAATACAACTTTAAGTAATTTAAATACTCCTTCATTTATAGA